CTTGGCCATGCCAGGACATTCACCTTTTTGTATCCATCTCCTAACTTGTGCTTTATCCCAGAGATCTTTTGACAATGCCTTGCCATCCATAGTTGATGGTTTGCTTCAGTTGCACTACCGGGGGTTGAAATGTAACACTAAAGCTATTTTCATGCTGAGCTGATCAAATTGACCACCAATGAAAATGAAATTGTGTTGTTTGTCGTTAAGAAGGTGATTAGCTTCACCTGGTTGAGTTTACAAGTAATTTTTAGAAAGGGGGTGATCCTTTTCAGTGATTCTGTTTCTGTGCTAGTTAATTGTTTTCTGACATGTTGGTGTTATATCTTTTACATGGATGTTATACATTGTACTGAATAATTACACCTAGATAAAACAAAACTGTATCTGTCTTCATTTCAGGCTACAATGCAACAAAATGTAAATATTTTGAAGGGGGGTGATTCTTTTCTATACCCACTGTACATGCAGGCAAATTGGGTAAACTAGTTTGGCTGTATGTATATTTATATACACACACACACACACACACACACACACACACACACACACACACACACACGAACACAGTTGAAGTCAGAATTTCCCAGAGATGGGTTGCGGCTGGAAGGGCATCCGCTGCGTAAAAACGTGCTGGATAAGTTGGTGGTTCATTCCGCTGTGGCGACCCCGGATTAATAAAGGGATTAAGCCAACAAGAAAATGAATGAAGTCAGTATTATTAGCCCCCCTGAATTATTCAACTCCATGTTTAATCTTTTCCCCAAATTCTGTTTAACGGAGAGATTTTTTTTAACACATTTTAAACAATAGTTGTAATAACTCAATTAACTGATTTATTTTACCTTTGCCATGATGACAGTAAATAATATTTGACTAGATATTTTTTTTAATATACTAATATTCAGCTTAAAGTGACATTTAAAGGCTTAACTAGGTTAATTAGGTTAACTAAACAGGTTAGGGTAATTAGGCAAGTTATTGTATAACGATGGTTTGTTCTGTAGACTATCGAAAATACATATACCCTAAGGGGGCTAATAATTTTGACCTCACAATTGTGTATAAAAAATACACGCAGTAGGTAGTGCTGTCGCCTCACAGCAAGAAGGTCGCTGGTTCGAACCTCGGCTCAGTTGGCGTTTCTGTGTGGAGTTTGCATGTTCTGCCTGCATTCGCGTGGGTTTCCTCCGGGTGCTCCGGTTTCCCCCACAGTCCAAAGACATGTGGTACAGGTGAATTCGGTAGGCTAACTTGTCCGTAGTGTATGAGTGTGTGTGAATGTGTGTGTGGATGTTTCCCAGAGATGGGTTGCAGCCGATGGGTGTATATATATATATATATATATATATATATATATATATATATATATATATATATATATATATATATATATATAATTTTTTTTTTATTATTTATTTATTTTTTCTAGCTGTGAGATAATAGGAGATCATGTGATCTGGAAGTTTACAAAAAGGAGCACCTTACTGTGATGAACACTGTCTGACAAAGAGCCGTGGGCTCGAAACCTGTGTCTGCCTTTTTAATTTAATACATTTGCATTTTTTTGAGCCTGGTGTTGCCTTTTTTAAATATATATTACACAATAAAATAAATTAAACAATATTAATTAAAATATTTTAATAGATATTATTATTATTATTATTATTATTATTATTATTATTATTATTATTATTATCATTAAATTGTACTAAAATAATGCCTTTTATTTTTATAGCACTGATCATAAAAAACTACAAAATAAAATGAAAATCGAGTAAAATAATGAAAAAAAATTAATTAAAAATAAAATAAATAAAATAAAAATAATAAACAAAAATAAACAATCCATCAAATAAATCAAAACTAAAGCTACTAGGTGATGTTAGCTGTAAAATGCAGTGTATTTATAAATCAGCATACTCATACAATATAAATCCTTTTATAAGTCTAGTCAAAGAACTTTCTTCTCCTCCTGAAGCAAAATAAACCTGTTCTCATGAAAAACACTAAAACAAAGCGCTGGAAAGCAGATATTCAGCTCCAAAAGTATGTGATTATGGCGTTTCACACAGTAAAGCTCTTTAACAACACGTGTGCTGCTCCAGTTGGCAATGACTGCAAACTTTACTACAGCCAAACAGTCAACTGTAAAGCATCATAAACAGGCATTACTGCAGAAAAACAGCTTTGCAGTGATGAATGGCTGACTGTTCATAATCCCCGTTAATGCAGCGCTGCTTATCAAACACACACATAGACAGTAGATATTGATTAGTGCTGAAAAACAAATGTCCGAAGAAGAACGGCATGACTATTATTATATTATACAGGTCAATTTAGAACAGTGGACAACAGTGTGTGTGTGTGTGTGTGTGTGTGTGTGTGTGTGTGTGTGTGTGTGTGTGTGTGTGTGTGAGAGTGTGTTTTCATCATCTGTTAAGTATGCTGTAAGAGTGTGTATGTGTGTTGTCCTCATCTATGAAGTATGCTGTAAGCATGTGTTTTCATCATCTGTGAAGTATGCAGTAAGCGCGAAGGTGTGTGTGTGTGTGTGTGTGTTTTCATCATCTGTGAAGTATGCAGTACTATAAGTGTGAGTGTGTGTGTGTGTTTCCATATTCTGTGAAGTATGCAGTACTGTAAGTGTGAGTGTGTGTTTCCATCATCTGTGAAATATGCAGTACTGTAAGTGTGAGTGTGTGTGTGTTTCCATAATCTGTGAAGTATGCAGTACTGTAAGTGTGAGTGTGTTTCCATCATCTGTGAAGTATGCAGTACTGTAAGTGTGAGTGTGTGTGTTTCCATAATCTGTGAAGTATGCAGTACTGTAAGTGTTTCCATCATCTGTGAAGTATGCAGTACTGTAAGTGAGTGTGTGTGTGTGTTTCCATCATCTGTGAAGTATGCAGTACTGTAAGTGTTTCCATCATCTGTGAAGTATGCAGTACTGTAAGTGAGTGTGTGTGTGTGTTTCCATCATCTGTGAAGTATACAATACTGTAAGTGTTTCCATCATCTGTGAAGTATGCAGTACTGTAAGTGAGTGTGTGTGTGTGTTTCCATCATCTGTGAAGTATACAATACTGTAAGTGTTTCCATCATCTGTGAAGTATGCAGTACTGTAAGTGTGAGTGTGTGAGTGTGTGTGTGTTTCCATCATCTGTGAAGTATGCAGTACTGTAAGTGTGAGTGTGTGTGTGTGTTTCTATAATCTGTGAAGTATGCAGTACTGTAAGTGTGAGTGTGTGTGTGTTTCCATAATCTGTGAAGTATGCAGTACTGTAAGTGTGTGTTTTTTCATCATCTGTGAAGTATGCAGTACTGTAAGTGTTTCCATCATCTGTGAAGTATGCAGTACTGTAAGTGAGTGTGTGTGTGTGTGTGTGTGTGTGTTTCCATAATCTGTGAAGTATGCAGTACTGTAAGTGTTTCCATCATCTGTGAAGTATGCAGTACTGTGAGTGTGTGTGTGTGTGTGTGTGTTTCCATCATCTGTGAAGTATGCAGTACTGTAAGTGTGTGTGTGTGTGTGTGTGTGTGAGTGTGTGTGTGTTTCCATCATCTGTGAAGTATGCAGTACTGTAAGTGAGTGTGTGTGTGTGTTTCCATCATCTGTGAAGTATACAATACTGTAAGTGTTTCCATCATCTGTGAAGTATGCAGTACTGTAAGTGTGAGTGTGTGAGTGTTTCCATCATCTGTGAAGTATGCAGTACTGTAAGTGTGAGTGTGTGAGTGTTTCCATCATCTGTGAAGTATGCAGTACTGTAAGTGTGAGTGTGTGTTTCTATAATCTGTGAAGTATGCAGTACTGTAAGTGTGAGTGTGTTTCCATAATCTGTGAAGTATGCAGTAATGTAAGTGTGTGTGTTTCCATCATCTGTGAAGTATGCAGTACTGTAAGTGTGAGTGTGTGAGTGTTTCCATCATCTGTGAAGTATGCAGTACTGTAAGTGTGTGTGTGTGTGTGTGTGTGTGAGTGTGTGTGTGTTTCCATCATCTGTGAAGTATGCAGTACTGTAAGTGTGAGTGTGTGTGTGTGTTTCTATAATCTGTGAAGTATGCAGTACTGTAAGTGTGAGTGTGTGTGTGTTTCCATAATCTGTGAAGTATGCAGTAATGTAAGTGTGTGTGTTTCCATCATCTGTGAAGTATGCAGTACTGTAAGTGTGTGTTTTTTCATCATCTGTGAAGTATGCAGTACTGTAAGTGTTTCCATCATCTGTGAAGTATGCAGTACTGTAAGTGAGTGTGTGTGTGTGTGTGTGTGTGTGTGTTTCCATAATCTGTGAAGTATGCAGTACTGTAAGTGTTTCCATCATCTGTGAAGTATGCAGTACTGTGAGTGTGTGTGTGTGTGTGTGTGTGTTTCCATCATCTGTGAAGTATGCAATACTGTAAGTGTTTCCATCATCTGTGAAGTATGCAGTACTGTAAGTGTGTGTGTGTGTGTGTGTGTGTGTGAGTGTGTGTGTGTTTCCATCATCTGTGAAGTATGCAGTACTGTAAGTGTAAGTGTGTGTGTTTCCATCATCTGTGAAGTATGCAGTACTGTATGTGTGTGTGTGTGTGTGTGTGTTTCCATCACCAGTGAAGTATGCAGTACTGTAAGTGAGTGTGTGTATGTGTATGTGTGTGTGTTTCCATCACCAGTAAAGTATGCAGTACTGTAAGTGAGAGTGTGTGTGTTTCCATCATCTGTGAAGTATGAAGTATACAGTAAGTATGAGTGTGTGTTTTCATCATCTGTGAAGTATGCAGTAAGCGTGTGTGTTCTCATCAGTAACAAATAATGTGTGTGTGTTGCGCTCATCATATATAAACTATGTAGCCAGCAGGTGTCTGTTTATTATCTGAGAAGTATGCAGTTAGTATGAGTGTGTTTTCATCATTTGTGAAGTATACAGTATATGTGTGTGCATGTGTGTTTGTTGTCCTCATGTGTGAAGTATTTAGAAAGCGTGTGTGTTTGTGCGTCTGTGTGTACAAAGTGTTACCTTCTCCTCAGACAGGAATTGCTGGTTGTCCTGGGCCATATCCTCAGTGGGCCGTTGGTGGAGCAGTTTTCGGCACAGGAGCCACACACCCAGACTGGCCATGAACATCCCAATGTCTGGCAGGAAAACTCGGATACCATTGCCTGCATCTGCCCCGATAACACTACACAAACAGACAACATATCAACGTGTGGAAATTATCACACACACACATATGTGTATATGTATATGTATATATATATATATATATATATATATATATATATATATATATATATATATATATATATATATGTATATGTATATATATACACACACATATACATACATACAAACATACATACACAGTGTTTTCCCACAGATAATCATATTATGATTAGGGGGAAATGCAGACTATTAGGATCATGTGCTCTGTACACTTTTTTGTTGCACAGCTGCAGTGTTTACACATTAACTACATAATATAAGCCACATCTGCTCATTATTTCCCATAACTTTTTTGTATTTTCCCAGAGATGGGTTGCAGGTGGAAGGGCATTCGCTGCGTAAAACATATTCTAGGTAAGTTGGCGGTTCATTCCGCTGTGGCAACCCCAGATTCATAAAGGGACTAAGCGAAAAATAAAATGTATGAATGAAGTTTTTTGTATTAGAATAAAAAAAAGGAATGAAAATAAATTAATTAAATTGGAAAAATAAATAAATTTAACGTTTTTCTGAGTTATTTCTTCCAAAAAAAAAAGTGACTGTTTACAAATTATAAACAAAACCATAAGTATATCAACCATCACAGCCTCTTTTTCCATAACTTCGAATCAGCATTGAAAAACAAATATATAGATATTATTAATTCATTCATTTTTTTTTTTTTTTGGCTCAGTCCCCTTATCAATCTGGGGTCGCCACAGCCGAACGAACCATATATATATATATATATATATATATATATATTTGTGTGTGTGTGTGTGTGAACAAGACAACAAAATTTTGCCAGTTTTATTATTATTAAATTTAATTATTTTGGATTTTAGATATAAAATTTACATTTACCTGCCACTTTAATAGATGCACCTGTCCAACTGCTAGTTAATGCAAATATCTAATCAGCCAATCAACTCAAATAACCACTTTTTACAACCGAGGTCTGCAGAAGAGCATCTCTAAGTGCACAACACGTCCAACCTTGAGGCGGATGGGCTACAGTAGCAGAAGACCACACCGGGTGCCACTCCTGTCAGCTAAGAACAGGAAACTGAGGCTACAATTCACACAGGCTCACCAAAAAGGGACAATAGAAGATTGGAGAAACGTTGCCTGGTCTGATGACTCTCAATTTTTGCTGCGACATTCAGATGGCAGTGTCAAAATTTGGTATCAACAACATAAAAGCATGAATCCATCCTGCCTTGTATCAACGGTTCACATTGTTAATGGTGGTGTAATGGTGTGGGGGAAATTTTCTTGGCAAACTTTGGGCTCATTAGTACAAATTGAGCATCGTGTCAATGCCTTGCTAACCATGTCCATCCCTTTGTGATCACAGTGTACCCATCTTCTCAGAGCTACTTCCAGCAGGATACCACACCATGTCATAAAGCGTGAATCATCTCAGACTGGTTTCTTGAACAAGACAATGAGTTCACTGTACTCAAATGTCCTCCACAGTCACCAGAACTCAATCCAATAGAGCACCTTTGAGATGTGGTGGCACGGAAAATTCGCATCATAGATTTGCAGCGGACAAATCTGCAGCAACTGCGTGATGCTATAATGTCAATATGGAGCAAAATCTCTAAGGAATTTTTCAGTACCTTGTTGAATCCATGCCAAAAAGGATTAAGGCAGTTCTGAAGGCAAAACGGGGTCCAACCTGGTACTAGTAAGGTGTACCTAATAAAGTGGCCGGTGAGTGTACATTTACATGCAAAATTCAAATAATAAAATCCAAAATAATTACATTTAAACTATAATAAAAAAAAGAACTCAACTGGCACAATTTTGCTGTATTTTTCCTCGCGCAAAAACTCAGAGTGGTATTTGATCAAACAAATTATTTGTGTAATTGAATTTAAAAATAAAATGCATGAATTGATTTAGCAGACACGTTTCCCCAAAGCAGCTCTAAAAGCATCATTACTCCTGCATGCACATAATTCCACTTCATCTTTAACAAATGTTTTGGGGCAAAGGAGCAGATTTCCAATGTTCGCATGAACCTACAACAGGTGATGTGACTAAAACAAAACCACCGTCACCAGAATTCCTGTTAAACCGCACGCCATCTGTGAGGGTGGAAAACACGATTTTTCCGGCAGCATTTTCCAGCTTGAGCTTCTTTCACATCTGTTGTGCTCTCGAAAGCGCCGGTTTATGTGCCTCTCCACCCAGTTCAATAAAATCAGACTTCACCATATTAAAAGAGTATAAATATTTCTCATAAAACACACACTGGGTTCTTCTGAAACACGTCTGTGTCGGGCTGATTCAGTCGAAGCGGGTTAGCGGTGCCAGTCTTTTGTTCACCATGCAGACATATATTATAAAGGGAAACAAATGCTGAATATAATCACCTTAGATGTATGGAATAATTGATGATGTGCTTATGTACCATATAAAAACACCCTCCAGATAGAAACTCAATGCTACATGCATGTAGAAACTGGTGAATTAAATGCATGAACAAACTTGGAAGTTTTACGAATAAAGCAGCATTTCCATTCAATGGTTGTTTCTCTTTCTTTTTTTTTTATTAGAATATGCAAAAATCATACAAATACAAGAAAACATCAACAAATAACAAATACAAAGCAACAAAACAAAAACAACAACAATATAGTCGGGTACTGGGGCCTGTTTCAGTAAGGAGATTCAAACAACTCAGAGTTTAAACTTGAACTCTGAGTTGATTTACCGAGAGATTAAAAACTCAGAGTTTTCGGTTTCAGAACAGCTGATCTGCGTTGGGTCAATCAACTTCGAGTAGACCAACTCAGAGTTAAGCGCGCACACCGTGACTTTAAAAAGGCATTATCAATGGAGCGCAGACATTACGAGTGACTATGGCAATATCTTATAAAAGAGATCACCATTTCTTTCTCCAGCTGAACTTGATGTTCTCATGCAAAGTTATAGCAAATATGAGTGTATATATTTGAAAAGAAGCAACCATCAGTGAAGAAGAGACAGTTAGCGTGGGAAAACAGCTGCTCAAGTTAATGCCTAATTTCACTTTTTAAGTATTTAAATATTTAAGTATAATAAAATAAGTAATGTAATTTGTGACGTTTATATATATTTTTTTCTAAACTTTCTTTTATACATTTATTAGTTTTAAATGATTTAACAGTGCACTTGTGTGTCTGCCTTTTTTATTGATCAAGTGATAGAGGTTAATATAACATTTAGAAGGTAAGCAGGACTAAAAATAATTTTTAGAAAGAATAATAATCCCATTAATCTAGTTACAGTGCATATCGACGGTGAATTCAATTTAATTATTTATTAAAAAAGCATAAGCCATTCTCGTACAGTTCTTCTGTGTGTGACTAAAATGTAGGCAATAGCTATGTTTCCATCCAAATATATTACATAAATGTATGTGCAAAACTGGAATATTGCATAAAAGATGCGAATAAAATTCCATCCAACTAGTCAAAGAGAAAAAAATCACTTCACTTTCTGATTAAACTGGCACCAAATATCAACAGTAAAAACAGAATTTACTGTGGTAGAAGAAGCTGCGTCAATTAATTCTTTATTTAGCCTAATTAATGTACTTGCGCCTCGAACACAATGAACACGTGGGGGCGTCTGAAGCCATGAGACGCGGAGACTCTTGACAGCACCAGACGTTCGGAGGTAATTAATAATATACAATAATACTGAAACAGTTAAGGCATTTTAGAGTGACTAAAACAATATTTAAGACATGTTACAGTGTGCTCAGCCTGCTGGTTTGTTCATTTACACACATTTTCATAATCATATGATCATGATCTTTTTTTTAATGAACATACTGTAATTTGTTCAGTAAAAGTGTTTCCATCGTAGTTTATGCGCACATTTTCTATCGAATAAAAGTTTATCCTACTCAGGTATGCGCGTTTTTTATGCATATTTTAAAAAGTTATGTGCATCATGACGTTTCTATCAATCGTTTTTATGCACGTATCCAAAATGAGCATTAAAATAGGTGGGTGGAAACGTAAGGCTCAGGCGAGAAATACCGCTTTATCTTTAAAAAAGGGGAGAAGACCGACAGAAACTCTGAGTTTAGAGAATAAAACCTGCTTCTGACCAGGTTAGATTCACAGAGTACGTTACCACAGTAACTGACTCTGAGTTAAAGTTACCTTTCTTTCAGAAACAGGCTTGACTTACCCTGCTTTCTCGAGTTTAACAAACCTGCCATTTTGAAACGGAAAACCCAGAGTTTCTCTCATTTTAGGGTTTTCAGTTAACCTCCTTTCTGAAACAGGCCCCTGGTATGTGCGTGAGTGTGCGCGTGTGAGTGTGTGTATGCATGTAAAGGTAACTTGGTGGACAGGTCAGAGTACATACATAAGGAACAATAACAGTCAATAAATGAAACAAGTGTCACAGATATGAATAAAACATATAGAAAGCATCCAGTCAGAGGTAGGGAGTAACAACAATGCTTATTAATGTATGATAGTAAACATGAGAGTAAAAAGAAAGAAAGGACAACAGTAATAACTGACAATAATAATAATAAATCACAAGTGCTACACCAACTACTACTACAGAAAGTTATTTATATTACAACTACTACTGCTTCTACTACAGCCACAACCACGACTATTACTACTACAATGTCTACTAATACTGATACTACTACAACGACTACCCATACTAATACTACTATAGCGTTTGCTACAACTAATACAACAATGTCTACTGCTACTACTACCACCACAATCACTTCCACATCAACAACATCTACTACTGATATTACTACACCACCAACGACTACTACTACTACAACAACCACACCATTACTACTTCTGCTACTACTATACCAATGACATCTACTACTACATGAACTACTACTTCAATTATCTCCGTAACAATTACTTAATAACAATCGATACTATTACAATGACTACTACTTCAACTACTACTACTACTACTACTACTACAACT